CAACACCCCTACCCACGGTGGGCACGTGTTAATATGCTCACCGCTTACGTGGCATGCACACATTGGTAATTGTTAATATGTTAAAAAAAATACATCACCAATGTGTGCATGACACATAAGCGGTGGACATATTAACATGTGCCCACCGTGGGTAGGGGAGCATTACTCTTGAGTACTAACATGCATATCCATACGAAGTATCTCGAAAATAGTGAACAACCTATGTACTTCCACAAAAATTTATTTGAACTTAGATTTCTTTTACCAATATCAACCATGAATATGAAAAAATAAATAAATAAAACAAAAGAAACAAAAAAAGAACAACTTAGATTCGAACATAAGATCAAAATTTGATTGTACTTGTGGAAGAAAAATACATAAATATACCAGAACTAACATTAGAAAAATGGAAATGATAATATACAAATTTCAGAGATTTGCATGATTTCAGAAAGGCGCAACTCACGTCTGAAACGGAAGATAAATTCATATTGGTTTGGTTTGGTTGCTGGTGTTGTTTGACACAAAAATACAAAATTTATTTAATTTTTTTTGTTGGCATCATTTATTTTATTTTTGTCAAATTATTGAAGAGGCCATCTAGACGTATGTGCATACATTTTTTGTCATCATTTGAATTATAAATTTATAATTCTTGAAAAAGAAAAAAACATAACGAGTTAACTTATTGTTGATTTTCTATTCGTACATCTGTATTGTTTCATAAGAATGATGGAAAGATATGGTCTTCATCACAACATTACGACAAATAAATTTCTGCACGAAATACCACAAATACGACAGCTTTTTTTTTATCATACATCACAAGTGTTAGTTTTACATTTTTATTGTTTTAGTGTTATATATTATATTTTTAATAATTTATTCTTATTATTTTACAATAATTCTATCGATGTGTATTTATAACAAAATATGTTAAATTATGATACTCATAAATTCAGTGCATAATAAGTGTTGGTTATTGATCTAATCATTGGCGTGATCATCTTAATTATTACCTTAATATGATCTAAAAATACAAAGAAAAGTAAACATTTCAAAGTATATAGTAAAAATCTATATATATATATATTTATATATATTATACTTTTATTTTTTTTTCACTTTTAGATGGACATTTATTGATACAGTTTGTATACAAAATAAAAACGTGACATCTGAATTTGGTTTCATTTGCGAGTGAGAAATAGACTAATATTGCAGAATAATATTGTGAAAGAAAAAAAAAATTGATAATAGAAAGAGTAAGGGTGTCTCAACCATAATAGAGAGAAAGAGTGATGATATGATTTTAACTATGAAGACTGAATAAGACAATATATATTTATCATTCAATTATTTAATGGAATGTTTGTTATATATGAGACATTTTGTATGAGTTTGTAAACACCCGATGTGAAGAGCATAACATTGAATAGCTTGATCCCAAAATACATAGTTTGTTTATTTTATTTTATAGTTGGTTGATATCATTTGTTTCATTTAGACTTAAATCTGAGGTCATCTAAAAGTTTGAGACTAAATTGTTGTCTACATTGTTAATCTCTTTATTGATCCATGTATGCAATTATACATTTTTATACAAAAAATTAGCACAATTTGTTAACTATTGTTAAATTTTTATTATTATAACACGTGTTTTTTTTCTTAAGATAATGACAACAATATATTATCACTGCTAAATCTTTGCAGTACATAAAATTCAATATTACTTACAATAATGCATCAACTACTTTTGTTATCATATATCATAAATGTTAGTTTATCAAACAATTTTTACTCTTTTATAATTTATATAATATTATTTAGATGTCTTTATTATCATTTTATGAAAATTCTATCAATGTCATATTTATAAAATAATTACTCCGCATAAATTACGTGCAAAAAATAAGTGTTTTGTTATTGACATGATTGTTAACGATTATTGTGAATATTTGTAACTTTACAAAATGTGATCCATCTTGCACGTCATTCTGATCACCACCGGACTTATTTTGTAAATAAATATAATTTAAATTTATTTTTCCAATTATAAAAAAGTTCAATACATCTGGATCTAATTTGAAATTAAATGCATGCGATTCAAAATTGAGTCATTTTTATATTTTTTCTTGAATATTTAATTTATATATTTTAATTTTAATTGGCTCATATATGTACATGTTTATTTCAATTATTCTATATCTGTTTATATATATAATAATAATAATGTCTTCAGTTATTCACAAATGTAGGAAATTATGTTATTATCAAGCCATTTTTAAAGAAAAAGTTTCAAGAAGTGTCATTAATGTGCAAATACCAATTTTCATCGAATATGACAAATATATTTTTAAGTTAAATTTGTTTAATTTGAAAATATTTATGAAAAATACATATGGTATTCTATAATCACAATAAGTTATATGTTGTTTTTTTTATAATCACAATTTGTGTTGTCTGATAATTATTATTTATGATGATAATGGTAACATGAATACAATTCAATCATTGATAATATTATATTTAGACAAATATTTTAAAATATAATGAATAAAATTTTCAACATACTTTTTTATTATCTCTACGAATATTTTATAAAAAATTTGTATTTATTTAAATTATAATTCATTCACACTATTTTTTAACACCAGGTCGCGCAACGCGCGGGTCAAGTACTAGTAACACAATACACTACAACATACGCACGGAAAAATGAAGTGTAATTATTAATTAAAGCCTCGCACTGATAATTTCAACACGTAGCAGCTTCTTGGAACCATAGGATTATATTTTGTTTTTAATTTTATTTTCTCGAAATTCACCCATTAAATTAAAATACTCCAAAAAGCGGTCACATCTCATTCACATATTCAAATAATTTTTTTATTTTTATTTTTTTGTACCTGAAATAAAATTCCAATATTTTATTTTATAATTTTTTTATTTTTATTTTTTTGGGATTAAATCTGAATCCCCCCGCCGAGATGGAGAAAGAGATTCTGGATTACGTGTTGGTGCCTGTGGGACTTACAGTGATGGCCGCCTATCACCTGTGGCTGCTCCGCCAGATCATCCGGCGCCCCTCCACCACCGTCCTCGGCATCAACGCCGCCAGCCGCCGCCTGTGGGTTCGCGCCATGATGGAGGTAATTATATATAATTAGTGCCCTTTAATCATGATTTTCTCATATTATAAGTGGAAAATTTAGACCTCTACACACAATTTGCAGTGTAGTCACTCCATTTTTTACAATTTCTTGTTTATTTTTTCTATTTAGTTTCCACTTTTTTTTTTGGTTATGTTATGAGTTGGTTGAGATTTACATGAGTTTGTTGGGTTTTCTTGAAAGCAAAATACTAGTTCAACAATCACATTTTCAAAACACACCTACTTAATAGGGAATAATAATCACTCAATCAAAGTTTTTCCCGGTCGAACCATCCAAAATCAAGACTCTTAAGAATATATTTATATTAAATCTTCGTGGATCAACAACATACCCAGCATATTCTCAACTGGTTGGGGTCTGGGGGTCAGTTGTACGCAAACCTTACTTTGTAATATAGAAGGAGGCTGTTTCCGTAGCGACCCAAGGTGCATTGTGTCGTTTGATTTTTTTTTTTTCTAGAAACTTTACTAATAGAAGAAGCACTAGAATTTAATTGAGCCGTTTTGATCTAGTGCAGGACACGGCAAAAAACGGCATATTAGCCGTGCAAACCCTCCGAAACAACATAATGGCTTCGACTCTCTTGGCCACCATGGCCATCATGCTCAGCTCCGTCATCGCTGTCCTAATGTCGGGTGGCGGAGCGCCAGGTGTTGGCAGCAGTGGGCCACACCGGCCGGTCTACAAGGACAGCAATAGTAGGCTCGGTTTCTCCATCAAGTTCTTCTCGATACAAGTGTGTTTTCTCGGGGCTTTCCTTCTGCACGTGCAGTCGATACGTTACTACAGCCACGCGAGCATGCTCATAAACGTGCCCAACAACATGAACAAAGACAAAAACAAGAATATCGGCTTTTGTAAGGACCGAGTGACGGTCGAGTACGTGTGTGGGACCGTGAATCGGGCCAGCCATTTTTGGTCATTGGGCCTTCGGGCTTTTTACTTCTCGTTCCCTCTGTTTCTGTGGATTTTCGGGCCGGTCCCCATGTTCTCGTGCAGCGTCTTGCTCGTTTTCTTGCTGCATTTTCTGGATTTCGTCGTGGAAGATCGCGTGTTGGTGGAAGAGGGGCAGAACGGTAATTGCACCGGGGACGATGATCACGATAACTATGATTACATCGTTTAAGTTTCTAGTAGGCGGGCGATGGGCTAATCATTAGACTTACATACTTTTCTTACAAATATGCAGATACTTTTACAAAACAATATTAACAGAAGTATGACATTAATTAGTATAAGTATGCATATTTGTCATAACCGTTAGGCTATCTTACACAAGAATTTGAGTTGTGTTTAGAGTGTGATTAGTGGTGTTAGTTTGGAGGAAGAAAGGATTATAGATTCACAACAAGGTGAGTGGGTTTAACACCCCGCCTTATCGTAAAATCAGAGTGCGAAAATTTCGCAAAGTTATTTAAAAATAAAATCTTTTACTTTGCGAAAACTGATCGGGGTGCTACCGTAAAACGTGACTTATTTTGGAAAGCCGTTATCTAAATTTTTAATAAAAGCATATGATTACTGAAAGCATAAGTTTTCCCAAAAGTCCGGTCAAAACATAAGTT